ATTTGAACATGTTGGCAAAATAGAGAACCATAAGGGGAGGTGCTGCCAAATTGAATTCTTGACCTTGGAAGAGAGTCTCCAACCATTCAACTGAAAGGGAAAGCATCAAGCTTTGATCAAGGATTAATTGAGGTAAGTTTAAGCTTTGTTCTGGTTAGGTTTAAAGCTTGTTTTGGTTGGAAATTCAAGTTGTCTTCCAAGGGTAAAATGCTGTGCAAATTTAGTTGACATGAGGAATGATTAGGGAGGGATAGAAACCATAAATTAAGGCTTGAAATTGCATGTTTAATTTATGTTTGGATTGAATTTTGGAAGAAAACTGAGATAGGGTTTTAAGAGGTTTAATTCGGCCATGACTTGTTCTTGAGGTAGGAATCTATTTTGATATGTTTTGATGATTCCAATGAGCTCAAAAGGTGTTTTTGTCTAGGAAAACACTAAGGAAAAGTGTTTGAAATCATTGGAATCAAAAATGAAAATTTTGGAACATATACTACCCCTATTCGATCAATGTAAGATGAAAGAGAAGGAGTGTGATTTTATAAAATCTGATGTTAGATATCTGAATTCTACATGAAAAATTGTGTAGAAATGAGCCAAGAGATTATTAAAATCAAAGGAGGATTAATTATGTTAAAATCAAGAAAAGGGGAGAATCAAGAAAGTTTAAGGTTAAGTGTTGTAATCAAGTTGAATGATTGTTAATGTGGCTTGGAATTACACTTGAATTGATAGGTTTTGTGGAGGAAATTGAAGAAGAGCACAATTCCCTTAAGGAGGCTGAATTACATAAGGGTTAAGAGGTAGCATTGAATTTAATTTTATTGTTTTTCTTGCTTACTTAATGTGTATATGTTGCTTGCTTTGTTTTGCTACGACATGATTGATTTACAATATAGTATGGAATGTTTTTTTATATTTGACATGCTTTGGCCAAATGCTTATTGATATGAAATGTGAATATGTACTAATTTTCTTAATGGAAGATTGTGCTATTTATGGAATTGGAAATGATTATTATGCATGGTGACATGTCACATTTTGTAAAGCATGATTAACATGATAATTATGATTCATTGCTACTGACATTTCTATGAAATCTCACTCCCCTCAATGTATAAATAATCAATAGGAACCTCAAAGGATATGTTCAAGAACAAAGAGATAGTATATCAATGGAAGGAATTATATTACGAAAGTATATGGAAGCTACTTATCATCTTTGTATATGTATGACATTTGTTATGTAATATTATGTATTATTATGTATATGCATGGGTGAATGTGCTGAAATGGGTTATATGAAAATGAAATTTGCGGAAAAATGGTAACTTGCAGTTGTAAAAATATGTATTCGGATTGTGAATTTGCAAATTGGAGTTGTGCAGGAAAATGACAATTTAATGTTATGAAAACCAGTATTTCTGTTGTAAACCCACAAATTCCTATCATTAACGCATATAGTTGATTATTATTGAAAGTTGATTGAAATTGATAATTGAATGATGTGCAGCAACAGATTATAAATTGCTACTAGTGGCAGGAAACAACTATTTTGCATCTTCCATATGGGAGGGGAATTTGTGAAGACCATAGAAGAAAAATTGGTATATGAAAGGAGTATTATAAACAGAAGATTGATCAGAAAAGGGATGATATATGAAAAACTGCAAAGCATGGTAGCAAATGATGTTTGGCTAGGTAGTGGTCAATATAAAATGAAGTATACAATTAGTTTGAACGGGAAAACATTTTTGGACCTTATCGATGATATTGAAATAGGACAATTAATTGAGTACAACGATAATAGTTGGCACATTTATGTTTACAACAATGAGAAAGACTTAAGATCAAACAAGCATCACAATTGGACAGTGCATGAGAGTAAGTGGGCATATTTGGTGGTGGGTTGTAATCTTTTTCGTATAATTAATTGATAGTTGAAATATTTCATGAATGTATGTGACGACAAGCTATCCCAAGTTCCGCGCTAAAATTGGCTAGTAAAACTGTAAATGTATGAAAGGCTTTGTCCATTTGTTAATGGGTGTATTTCTATTGTTAATTAATGTATTGTTTTTGCAAATTCTCTAATTCCTGTTGTAATGCACGTATCATTTTAGCCCATTCCCTAACTCCTATTGCCAATTACGTAAGTCTACTTATGAATACATGAGTTCCTGTTCTAAATTTCTCAATGCCTTTTGCAAATTGTCTAAACCTAATTGTGAACACACTTGACAGACTCTAGCATGATGATTCAATTATATTAAAAAAAACCACTTGCAAAAACAAGAGCCCCTATTGTAAACTTAGCTATTATTATTGCAAATTCCCTAATTCTAATAGTCAACATTTGCACTCAAAGTATGAAATTTTGGGGGGGGGGGGAATATATTATCATTATTAGACATGTAATAAACACATAGTATATAGTTCATTGTATTGAAAATGAAATTGTGGGTAATCCTTATGCATAAAAATTGACACATCCTTTGCTAATATAAAAGACATCCTGAGCTAACAGATCCTCTTCAGTTTGCTCTTGGTTGTGTTTGTATCTTTGCAAGTAGTTGTACAACAGCTGCCAACCGTGTATTTCTTGCATGAGTAATGAGCCACCACAGCAAATCTGACCTTAGGGAACTGAGTTCTTCCTATTGCACAATATTAAGAACCATCAAACAAGGGACACAGTGGAGTACAAGATTGAAATCTAAAAATAATGCATCCATAGATAAGCACTTAATCAACTCATACTTCTGCAAAATAGTTGTTTCTCGCCACCAGTAACTGTTTATAATCCGTTGCTGCACATCATTCAACTATCAATTTCAATCAACTTTCAATAATAATAGATGGTATGCATTAACAATAGGAATTTGCGGGTTTACAATAGAAATACCGATTTTCATGACATTAAATTGTCATTTTTCTGCACAACTCCAATTTGCAAATTTACAATCCGAATACATATTTTCACAACTGTAAGTTACCATTTTTCTGCACATTTCATTTTCATATCACCTATTTTAGCACATTCACCCATTTTCCTTTCAGTTCTCCCTTCCTGAGTTCCTTCAATAATGTATTACAGTTAGTGTTCACCCATTCTCACTCACTTTTCAAAAATCACTAACACCTCATGTTTATTAACTTCAAAGAAGAAGAAGATAACAATCTCTCTCTAAAAAAGAAAAAGATAACAATCTCTCTCTAAACTTAAAAGCTATATCAAAATTTTTTTTCTCCCTCACTACCTCCCTACTCCTACATTTAAATACTCATTTTTACATTATTCAACTATCACAATCCAACTATGCTCAACAGAATGAAAATTTTGGGAAAAACGGTTTACGTCACGCACCAAACTTTTCTTTTTCCCTCTTTCTTCTTCCTTTTTCAGCAAATACAGTTTGCAGGACATTTCAGTAAAATGGCTTCAGTAATTAATTTCAATTTGTCCCCTGGGTCCTTCAGTGAAATTTCAAAATCCTTAACTAAAATTTTTAGATTTTTTTAGGGGCTATTTGAAATTAATTCCCATCTGCGGTCCTTAATCGAAATTTTCCCAAGAAAAAAAATCTATCACAATGTTAATTCTCTAACAAAGATATTTCATCAACCCCAACACAGTTACTTTCTGCGTTAACGACTTCAATATAGCATTTTACAACTCCACTATCTCTATTAACAGCACACTTCACAATATCATTACTGTTGATATTCAGCCTTCCCTTTTGCGTAACCATTGCGGAGTTTTTGCAAATTTCCCTAAACTACAATCTACTATCCCCACAAACAGATTATTCTAAACCCCATCTGACAACTAACCTTATCCCACACTAACCAACTCATATGTTGCAATATCTAACCATTCTCACAAGTTAACAACAAGAGCCAACACCCCAACATGAAGAACCTTGACTTATGTATTGCCGTACCCATCTCTCTCTTAAGCTAAAAAAACTAACTTGCCTAGAACCCAAACCCTATCCAACACTAGCCAACCCATATGTTCAAATTTCTAATCATTCTTACACCTTAAAAAAGAAAAACCAACATCCTAATATGAATAACGTTCAACTTATGTAATGCTGCACCTCATCTCCTCTGAACCTTTGACTTACCCAGAACCCAAAACTATCAAAATGAAAAAAAAAAAATAGAACACCACAGTGTTGTTAGGAGAATCAAAAGAGTCATATGATCTAAAAAAAAAAAAAGAGTTTACACTTTCGAACCAGCACCTTCTTCTCACCTTCCAACCAGCTTCCCACATGTTTTGTCTCTTTTCCTTCCTGCTAAACTTTTTCTAAGGCTAGCGAATGTGAGTCCCACGCTTTGTACTTATAAGGGTAATTTGGTCATTCTAGTTAATTTTGAAATCCCTATTTGATTTGAAGTGATGAAAATGGGATTTGCCTTATTCAAGTGTCTATTTTAGGGTTTCCAAATTAAAGTATCAATTTTGTGTCATTTTTCTTTTATTGCCTTTCTTCCCTTGATCTTTCTATTAAAGGAATGTTAAGTGTTTTGCTTTGGTTTCTATCAGGCATATTAGTTCTAATTATTATTCGAAACCACAACAGTATTCTCCTATTCATTTTGTATTACTATAAGCTAATTCCTTTACCTTATAATATACTTTGACATTTTATCAAAAACAAAGTAAATAAATATTTTTCATGTGTGCATTACATACACCATACACCGACCTTACTTTATACACAATTACATATTAGTAGATTCTGGGACATCGTATATTTTTACATCAGATTCTATTCATAAAAACGTTACAGACTTTTAAATTACTCAAACAAATTTCTTTCGTGATCAATTTCAAGAAATTAAATTTACTTTTTAAGCGTTGACTCTTCAAAATTTATAAAAATTAAAAATAAAATAAAATAAATTAAATCAAAATAAACGAGGGAAATAATAGTTTTACGAATTCCTTTCAATAAATACCCTGTATCCCCGGCAGCATGCTCATTAGCTGCTTTTCACTTCGAGAGCGTGAAATCAAAGGAGCCCTTGAGGTTTAGCGGTCCGTCGAGAACGACGAAAGAGTGATGCAGGGAGCCGCAGCCGACGGAGAGGCAGTGGACTTCGAGCCGGAGGACGATGACTTGATGGACGAAGATGGCGGCGCCGAGGCTGACGCCTCTGCATCTCCCCATGCTCCTCCTCTGCCGAAGCTCAAATCTGCCATCACTGGTGGCGCTTCCTCCTCACTCGCTGGCCCTAAAAAAACCAAAGGCCGAGGTTTTCGTCAGGAAACCGATGCCAATCGTAACACTGGCCTTTCTGGGTCAGATTTCGACTCTCTCGCCACCGAGGGTGGGCCCGGTCCTCAACGATGTGAGTTTTTCTTTCCCTCTGATTCTTCCCTAGCTGTGCATGTTTCTATATATTTCATCCTATTCATGAATCCCTGAGTGGTTTGTGCGTTTAGTTTGGTAACATTCTGCACATCCATGTTTTGTATTAGGGTTTTGGTTTTAACTCTGGTCTTGGCATTGCGTACTTGAATGGGCAGGAGATTTACTTTCTAGGGATTCTCTTTCTTGAGTTGAAAATAGAGAGAACTGGGAGGATAAAGTTGTGCACAATTTGAAATTGGCAATGCTTGTATCTTTCTTTTTTTTTTTTTTTTTGGGCATATGTCGTAACTTTTAATTATTCTGGGTGATAAAATGTATTTGTAGCTTGGTATGTGATCAAAACGAATGAATTTTAGTTATGAAACAGTAAAGTTGGCGCGGCCTTCTACGAAACTAATGTGTTGAATTTATGTTTCATTTTAACTTCCGGTCACCTGCCCATGGAGAGTGTTTAAAGCGCTATGAACTTTTTAATTTTTATTTTTCTGGTCTCCTGTCTAAAAGTTTGTGTTATGTTGCCGAGGCTCTTTCTCAGCATACACGGATGGTTATAAAACAAAACAAAACAAACTGTAGAAAATTGCATAGAAGAGTGAAGATCCGAGAGAACAAATGAGTTCTAGTCTAAGAAACTCCTCAAAAGTCACCCAGCTGTTATCTTTGATTTCCTTCATTGCTATGCCACTGGAGAGTGAGACAGCATGAAGAGTGGAAAATAGCTTGTAAGAGTTGATTGGGGGGAAATAATGAGTTCTATGTCAAGCTATATAAAACTCACTTAGCCATCGCCTTTGAAAATCTTAAGAATCCTTCTTTGTTTTCTCTTCTGATATGTCGGTCATGGTTCATAGTGTAGCTCCGGTTTTGAAAGGGTTGCTCATTTTTCTAGCAATGTCTGGCAATCACTTCCCTTATCAACTTTGAACCTTGTTTTTTGGCTTCCTTGAGGGTGTGTCTTTTCAGTTTTGAGCAAGCATTTTTATTTGTTCCTACTTTGTGGGACATCATAGGACTAGGGGGAGAAACCCTTTACGGCAGTGTGCTATCTTGGCTGCGTTGTAGCATACTTGACTGTCATTATATGCTTACCTTTTGAGAACTCTTTACCTGTAGATTTGTTATGTAACAGGTTTTTTTGTGGAAACCTTTTCTTCTTAACTATTGACTACAAGGGAATTTATGTGCTGAAGGACTGACGTGCTTCATTGTATTGAGGAGACTGTTTGTTATTAATGTTACACTATGAATGGGGAAAATATCTAAAATGCATGAACTATCACACCCTTCGCAGGCTTTTTGTATGAGTTCATCATGAATCCAGTATGTATTTATTCATATTTAGATGCAGCGCTCATTTGCCTTCCGTTGTATGTCTTTAGAGTATCTAGAATTATGCTGGGGTTCTGGAGTTCAAGACCTTTTTGAACTGTTTTTTTTTCATTTGAAACATTATTTCACGGTCTCAATTTCTTGTGGTGATATTCTTATTCTATGCAGCGATTGAAGGATGGATTATTCTGGTCACGGGAGTGCATGAGGAAGCACAGGAAGATGATCTACAAAATGCATTTGGTGAATATGGAGAGATTAAAAATCTGCATCTAAACCTTGACCGTCGCACTGGTTTTGTCAAAGTAAGTGATGAATTTTATCTTGTCAATTTTACATTGCAATATTTGTCATCTAATAGTTGAATGTTTATTTCAAACATGATGTATTAAGCTTTGCCTTTCGGTTAATTTATGGAGAATGGAAATAGAGCCCAGGAAGGGGGAAACTATGGCATTGGCGAACTGATTATCTGTGTGCGCCACTCATGAATATGGGGGTTGAAATAATATTTTCTTTAATTTGGGGCATGCTTTATGTAACGAAAACTACTGCAATGATCTCTGATGGGTTTGAAGGAAAAAAAATATTGGGGAATATTGTGATTTTGTGCTCTTATCTTGCCAAGTAAATTATATAGAATATAATTGGCCAGTCTTTAAGTCTCCTGAGTTTAATACTGGTTGAGGCTCTATATTTGGTGTTTCTTTCTTCTGTTTATTTGCATCTTTTTTTCTTCTCTTTAATCGATTATTATTATTATTTTTTTGTTATTTTACTGTTTTGAAGAGGGTGCATTCTTCTTTAACATAATTTTGTGCCAACTTGAGGATGTCTATTGAATATGGAGTACTGATTGGAATTTGAATCAGCTAGATGAACTGAGACTTAGCTAGTTCTAGTCGTGTAGCTGCAGTCATTATTAGTATTTTTGTTAGCAGCATGTAAACAGTTTGATTTCGATATGGATATCAATTTCTGATCATTTTTTACTTTAGGGTTATGCATTGATTGAATATGAGCATGCTGAAGAAGCCCGAAACGCAATAGAGAATTTGAATGGATCTGAACTTCTTACTCAAACCATTTATGTGGACTGGGCTTTCAGCAGTGGACCTATTAATGGGTCAATGAGAAGAAAGAATGCTAGGTATGTATTCTGGATTTCTTAAAACTTAGTATTTGATAGTTTATGCTGTTTGATATTGCAAGGGCTGTAACAATTTTATACTGTATCTCTTGACTATGAAATATACAGTGTTGTGTCATTTATCCATGCAATATTGTTTCTGAGTTGACCTGTCTCTTGGCTGAAATTACTCACATCTGATCACATTTAATGCTAAGAGCTAAGAAAGAGGTATCACATAATGTTTACATCTCTCTTGGAAATGACTGTCCTGAATGTTTTAAGATAAAATTGCTGTAGATGTATAACTTGCAGGGAAATGCATTACGTGCTTTATTGAACTTGCATTCAAAGCTGCATGTTCATTTTTGAGAAATGTACTTTATTTGTGTCTTGTGAAAACACGTTCTGTTTGTCATCATGCCATGTCCATCATGAAAACTGAAATGAATATAGAAGGTATGAATGTTTGCTCCATTTTAGTTTCTGAAATTAGCTTTTTGGAGTTTTGATCATCCACAACCTGTATTTTCCCCCATGCTTCCCATGCTGATAACACTATCTTTTTGTCCCGCTAGCTGCACTCACCTGCACGATCAAATCAATGATCTTTGCTGTATGATTGGTTGTGGGTTTTCATAACTCTCGACTAGTTGGATGAGTTGTCCTCTTATTTATTCATGGCATTCAGTGGTAGATTTAGTTTGTTTCTATTCTTGAAAATGGGGTGGTTGACTTGGTGAGGTGGTCTAGGGAATCGAATATTTATGGCTGCATGGTGTATGATTCCATTGTGACTCCACAAACCTTTATTCTGCCTTTGCCGTCTGATGTTAGAAGGCTTCTTTTCTTTTTCTTTTCTCTCTCTCTTTTTTGTAAATGACCTTTTGAGTTAGTGTTCTGTGGAGTAAACCCACCATATGAAGCGATAAAACATAGGTCAAACATTGCCGAGCAAGAAAGTAGAGAAATTTTTTGCATTTTGGAATGGGTTCTCTTAAGCTTTTGTTTTGTTTTGTTTTTTTTTTTTGTTTTTTTTGGTGACATGGTTTTCTTGGCCCCACCTTGGGGGCACAAGACTTTGTTGTTGTTGTTGGTGGTGACATGGTTCTCTTGAGCTTTGCCTGTACTGGTATTTTGATTGAAAAAGAAAGGTGATCTTTTCTACTATTGTAGCTTACTACCTATTTTCCTCCTATAAAACATTAAAGAGCATGCCTTTAGCACCAATGTTGCAGATTTTGAGAATAACTTTTGGTTTTGCTTTGCTGCGTAGTGTCTGGAGCATAATAGATCAGAAATGTTGGCATGCATGTTTCGCCTTTTTGTGCTCATATATTATCTCTGATCTTAGATAATTTTTTGAGGATAATAGGATTTACTATGTTCATATCACACACAAAATATTAGTCAATGACGGAGCAGAGCTGGATAAAGCATTTTTTAAATTTATTTCTCAAAATTATTCATGGGTTAAACATAAACAGAAATGCAATGCCAACTTTTGGCTGGGAAACATCTGATTTAGGGATCATGCCTCCTTGATCAGTAGGCAGTGACACATCTGATCAATGTACAATTCTTTTAGTTCACTACCCCTACCTTTGTATTTTACTATTCGTGTGTTCATCTCTTCTTACCCTTAACGATGTTAGTGAGATCAATTGGGAAGTGAAAATACCAACGGAGAATCACAATGTAATAGGACTAGAAATATTTGATGGGCGGGAAAATGATGCATCTCATTTTTCTTGACTTCCAACATTATTTTCCACCATTCCTCTTACGGATTTGTTTTGGCAGACAGAAAGTCATGCATCCTATTTTGATTATAAATACTAATTTTTTTGTGCATAATCCTCCGGCTGGAACTTGTGACCTTGTGAATTCTCACCAAAAAAAGGAAAAAGAAAAAAAAAAAAAAACTCGTGACCTTGTACTTCATGGGTTTCTAATTGTGAACCACGTAACTTGCATGTTAAGTTCTTAATGAGCATGTCATCTGAAATTCTGGAACCCTACATCTGTGCAGACCAACACGGGAACGGCGATCGAGGAGTCCTCGGAGGAGATATTGACTTGGTGTGCAGTGTTTGGGATGATTTTGTAGACCTCTGGTTCATTTTTGGTCAAATCGTGACAGATTTTCCTGATACTTGTTCTACTTTCGAGTTAATATCTTTATTGGTTGTTGCAGATTTGTCTTTCAAGCGTCCTTTCTCGGATTGCTCCGGCACATCTCAATCTATGGTGTATTATGTATGACAATGTAGTACTACAATGTAGTGATGTGTACTGGTTGTTATTGTTCTCTTATTTTTATCATATGCAATTATGTTATGCTTGGGGAATTGGGGTACTTGCCATAGTTAGCATGACGCCAATTTGATTTCATTCTGGAATATTTGTTTTTGGTGTCGTTTTTAATTTTGATTGAAGTTAGTTTTAATGGTGAAAAAATGAGTCTTGAAAAGATTACAAAAATTATCAGTTGATTTGATGATGACCCAACACTTGCGAGATTGACAATTGAGGAAGTGAGATTACAACCCAAGGAGAAAATGGGACCTGCTTGAAGTTTGGGAACTAGTTAAAAACAGGAGCCTGGATTATTGGGTTTTCACCAGAGAAATTTTAGGGCTAAAGTAGCCAGGTCATGGTTGGTGGCATTTGTAGTTAGTTTAAGTGGCAAGCGAGGGTCGGAAGGTGAGGAAAGACACTTTATATTAAAAGAAAAATCATTAAAGAAATGTGCGGCGGTCTTGCTTGAACCAACCAAAAATTGTTGGCCCCGGCAAAAGTATGTCAGGTAGTAATCAATTAATAATAGCCAGTAAATTCATTTTTGACTATTTAAAGTATAGATGAACTAACAGTTGTCTTATCCGTTATCCTGTTGAGCGTAAACGCTCCTTCACTTTCTAAATGAAGAAATTGGTTTATTTTGATGTTAAAAGTAAAGCTTTCAAAGCTTCAATTTATAATTTTTTGTTTCAGATTATTTTTATTAGTTACACGTGATTTGCCTAGATTTTCAGCCCATACTGATTTGCCTAGCTTTAATTAAGGTAAAAGCTCACTAACGCCTTCTGAACTTTTAACTACCCGTTAACATTGGAAGTTTGCTTGCCTTCACGAGTTTGAAAACTCTCTTGCTTTCACCGCATAAAGCACGCTTCACTTTAGGGCTGCACATGGACAGGACTGGGCAAGGGATGATCCTTGCTCGATGTCCAACCCAAATGATTAATAGACTGCATTTTGAAACCCGTTGCTCAGCCTTACTTGATGAAAGCCTCAGTTATTTAGGCAGGGCTAGGTAAGGTGGGCTTCCCTACCCACCCTAAATGATGATGTACTGATACGGTATTCATATTACGTGACGCGAAACCTAATAAATAATATTTGGATTTTTAAATGGGGAAATTGTAAATAAAGGATCCCGAATATGTAAAATTGCGATTTGAGACTCTGAATTTGGAAAATAGCAACTAAGGACCCAGTCTTACTTTTGTAAATATGAAATGTGGGTGAAATGTTTGAAATGCCCCTCAGCCAAATGACAAGTTGACGATGAAAAATAGCAAGTTTACTTTAGCGAATGGTAACTTCAGCAGAACAAATCACAACTTGACTGAGAATATGCCAGATGACGAGTTGACTATGAGAAATGGTAAGTTCACTTTAGCGAATGACATCTTCAGTAGACCAAATCATAATTTGGTTGAGGGGCATTTTAGACATTTCACTCACATTTCATATTTGCAAAAGTGGGACGGAGTCCTTATTTGTTATTTTTCAAATTCACGGTCCCAAATCGCAATTTTACATATTCAGGGGTCCTTATTTGCAATCTTTCCTTATTAAATATATTTTATAATTTCACAATTTAGAATATTTCAACAAGAAATATAAACAATATACTACAAATTCATATATCTATTTATCATTCCATATCTCCTTATAATTATTATATAATCAAACACTATAGGATAGGTTTTCAAACAACATACATAATCAAATATATTAAAAATTTAAATCTTGAAATATATAATTCTGTCATATATGAATATTAAATTTGTATATATATTAAATATAATTATATAAATAAATTCTAGGCAAGGCTAAATGGGCAGAGCAGCATAATTTGCCTGATGCCCAGCTCTGCCTGAAAATGCCTATTTTTTGTTTAGGCTGCTTTTTCAAGATCAGACTGGGCATAATTTTACCTGAGCGGGCTTGTAGGCCTTATGAATACCCCTACTTCGCTCCTCTAATTAAACCTTCCTTGAGCTTAAGGTAATGATTAGGGAGAGCTAGCAAAACGGGCCAACCGTTCTAAATAGTAGGCTCTTAATGAGCTTGGGCTTAAAAAAGTTGGGCCTAAATCACTTACACTAAAAGAATTCAAATTGCAAAGTCTAGCACTCAGTCGTGAGCTTGGGATTGACGTTGTCGGCCTTAGACCTTTTTCTTCAAATAATAAAATGTTCAAACTCATAAATTCCCTCTTGAAATAATTAAATTACAAGTTGTAAAGGTTAAAAAAAAACTCTCTTATATAATATATATATAATTTAAAAATACAACACATATAACATGGATCAAATCATTATTTAAAGTCCAAATCATCAAAAAGTTCAAATGAATAAACCATTACCCAACATTATACAAACCAAACCATTCTATAAAATTTAAATATAAAAAATCATAACAACAACTATGCAACATCATTAAATTGATCACTTAAAAATATCAATAATATAAAAATAAATAAATAAGAGTTAAGGTACAAATTTGTTCCAGAAATTTTCACTTAGGAGCGTTGGGTATTTGAAAATTTTTTGCGGTGCAAATTTTTTTGGAAGGTCAAAATAGTAGCAAATTTGCCCATTGCTATTAGAAACCTAATGTTAGTCGTTAAAATAATGACATTGACCTTTATAATTTTTAATAGTATGATACAAAATTGTTATAATTTTAAACTTTTGGGGTAAATTTACACAAAAAAAACTTTCAAGTACCCAATGCTATTGAGTGAAAACTTCTAGGACATATTTACACCTTATCCATATAAACTAATAAGGGTCATAAATGGGCTGGTCCATTTATGCCTTGACCCATTAGAGCTAGTATTTATAAGCTTGTTTGCTATTTGGAAGCAAGTATTGAAGTTCCTCCTTCTTTGGTGCAAAATTGAAGATGGGGTCAAACTTTTTTCCTTTTAATAAAGGGAGAATTATAAGGAGGTCTTAAGAAAAAAATAATTGCCAATAACAAATAAGCAGTTGTCATTTATTATATTGAAATTTGTTACTGTAGGCTGCTTTGTCGTCACTGGGACTTATTAGTAATTATGTTCCTTATTTGAGATTTCATAACAATGTTCCCTTTAATAAAATACTACCACGAAGACATAAACAAGTGTTGGTTCAAGTAGCAGGGATTTGGACACCTTAAGCATCATATTTTGGGTTTGATCCTAGGACAGTGTGTACAGAGAAAAACATTGTTGGGAGGGGTCCTCACTGCAGTGTATAACAGTACTATAAGAGATTAGTCTCTTGCTGTTAAGGTGAAAGGATACTCTGGACAATAAAAAAAAACTAACACAGAGCCATACAAAAGAATAGTTTTAAATGGGCACCACATAAGAGTTTTTGATGGAAGTGGAAGTGAAATTAGACTTCAAAAGTTTGTTTCATATGTTAACAATGAGTGGGGAATTCATGTATATGTACATCTGTAGTTTTAATAGATAAAATTAATAAAAGTGGGATCGAAAAGACTTTTTCCCGTTGTTTAGAAACATAAAGAAAAAAATTAAAAAAATAGTAAAAAAAATATTGTTGCCCTAGTCTTTCAATTTGCATCTTTCGTCTTCTCCTCTTACAGCCTCGCCTTTTATGCCCCTAGCTTCATTTGCGTCTCATCTTTCTCATGTGTCTTTGCGTCTCTTATCTTTTCGCCAATCTAAAGCAAGGATGGAGAGTTGCCGTTGCGAATCTTCGATATCAAAAACTTAAATTTTTTTGGCTCCCTATGAAGAACTAGTAAATCTCTATATTACCTTTTTTATTTTCATTTATATTTAATGTTGGAATTACTATCTTTGACATGGCATGGCCCCGAATTGGCTTAGCAAATAAATAACTAGGCACGTAGTTTCCTCCGTTGTTTGATAGTTACTTTGTGATGAAACCTATATAGAAAAAAGTATTCGGATAAATGATAATATATGAAAGTCAAAAGCATAAAAAGATAATAATACTTTTACTTGAATTTATCATGACCCCTTTTGAAATTTGAATAGCTTTACCAAGATTTTTGTTGTTAAATCCCAAAAGATCCTGATCAATCCTAAAAAGAAAAAGATTATGATAATAGTTTCTAACTTATTGTGGAGCTTCACTGATACTTGTTCCAAAACAATTTGAAGATAAAGGAAATACAATTAAAAAAGAAGCAGGAGAGAACTTACGTGCCTTTGTAACATTTGACAAAGTTGTTGGTGTGCATATTTGGCTTTATCAGAGTCATTTCTTAATGGCAAGGAGTTTAGCTAGATTGGAACCACTTACGTACTAGTAATATATGCCATTTACACGTATAGTAGGATGTGCTTGAATGTGTAACGTCCAAAAATTTTAATTTTCTTGTAATGTGTAGTTTGCTGTAGTAAATGGTTAAAACTGAAAAAGTCTTTTCTGTGTAATTCGCTGTAGCAAAAGTATTATACTCGGAGCCCCTGAGAATGGGGTTGGAATTTATAAGAAAATCCGTCCTCTAAAGAACAATTTACGCATATCACATTCCATTGGTACTTTTTCAGTGAAAATTTTAAAGTGGTGTTGCTTCTCTGGGGAACGAGTTATCTTCCTACCATTGCAGCCGTACACCGCTCCTTTGAAATGACAAAGTAATAATTTTTTTTTCCGAAGTAAAGGCAAAATGATATTAAGCAAATAAATAGGTACAAAGTTAAAGAGTTATAATTGTAGAAGGACAAAATGCAGAATTAAAAATAGAAGAAAAAAGGAGCAGCTAATAGACTTGAAAGAAACAAAAGTAAAGAAAGAAAAAGCATGAGTGATGTCTTCCATAAGATAACTGCAAGAACCTCCCAAGGATTGACGAGGGTATAGTATTTTCTTCCCAATAAACATAAGCTGAAGTTTTGGATTTTCCTCCTGATAAGTCTAGCATTGATGTCTTGTCCACATTAAAGCTATCCGAAGACAAAGAAACAGGAAAAGTCTTGGGATGAAGGCTTTTTTTTTTTTTTTTGGGAAATAAGGACTTGAGCTGCTTGACCACACACTACAAAAAAACATGTTTTTAGCGACAGATTAGCAACGG